CTAGAGCTCGGATCAATTTGCTGTTGATTTTAAGACCAACTTCTCCTACTTAGTTAACTGGAAGGAAAGAAAAAAATCCCCCTAATTTCCCCCAGAGAGTCCTCAGTTTTACCCAACAAAAACTTCTCTTATAAGTTCTCACGAGTAGGAGAGGTTCCTTGCCTTACTTGGGTACATCTGAAGCCATTGTTTGTAGTTTTCCCAATCTCATTTTATATAGTCAGGACCCTTACAGGAAAAGCAAATCATGCCCTTTGAAGTAGACAAGGCTACTGTTTTCTGTCTATTTTGTGGGACTTGCCGATGTGAGGCTTTGAGTTGTTGAATATGTAAGGCCACGAGTTTAGCAGTCTTTTCCTCATTTCTGCTTTAGCCTCTTTTTCTTTTTGCATGGTTTTTGAGAGGCATTCAGCCAGGGAAGCTATTTCGTGGGGTCTCTTAGGAGCTTAGTAGGGATTATATTGTTTAGCTAAAGCACTAAGGGCTTCATTAAGACTTGAAAGGAAAAGTGAATTTAAAAATTTACTGTGTCATCAGTTAGATCTTTGATAGCAGAGGTTTGTTGGCAAATTTTTAAAACTCAGTCAAAATAGTCACAAACAGGTTTTCTTTCTGAATGCATCACAGAATAGCCTTCCAGTTACTTTTTTCTGGAAGGAGCACTGGAATGGATTTAATGAATTTAGCAGGGATTTTGCTCGCTGTCTTGCAGGCCCTTTCCCCAGTAACATGAAAATCTTCTTGGGGCCTATCCCAGTTACATAATCCAGTCTTCAGACCCACTTCACTCGCTGCCTGGACTGAAAGACAAATGTCTCTTCATTCAGATCCAGTTTTCTTTTTCTGAAACTGTTCTTCAGACCATCCCTTCATTTCACAACCTTGGCAGATCTAAAGAGCAGAGGTGACTCCGAGCTGAGTCTACCCACCGTCTTCTCCTGGGCAGATGCAGACCCATCGTTCACCACAGGATCACCCCGGGCTGATGCGGTGCTGTCTCCTCAATGCAGCCCACTAGGGACAGCACAGACCCCCCCACTCACCTCTGGTGATTTCAACCTGATAGTGGTTAAATACTCCTTGACAAACACAAATCCTGTCATGTCACTCTTCTGACTTAACTTTGCCAATGGTTTTCCACTGGCCTTAGAATAACGATCACAGTGCTGACCATGGCCTCCAGACACTGAGTGCTCCTGTTGGCTGCCCCCTCCCTTCCGGTCCACCCCAGTTGCCTGCCGTCTAGTCTGCTATCTTGGGGACACAGTAGACTCTAGGGTATCTGGGGGATTGCATACACATTCTCTCAACTCATCCACACAAAGCCCACTCTTACCACATTTTCTAAGACTTTGTGCAGCTAAATCCTTAAAGGATCATGAAATTTCATATTATGAAAATTTCATAACATCATTCTTCAAAAGACAAAAAAAGTTATTTGGCAAATCATCTGTGAGAATAACCCTCAATTTATAAAGCAAGAAAATAGCAGCTAAATACCGAGTCCATATTTGGGATAATTAGTAGAGAAATGCTGAGTGAAAGCCAAATTGAAAGAAAACTGATGATTAAAATTTCATAAGAATTGAATGGAGAGTATATTACCTTGTTGTATTCTTATCTGTGTGTGTGTATATATGTGTGTGTGTATATATGTGTGTGTATGTATATATGTTTGTGTGCGTGTGTGTATGTGTGTGTATATATATATATATATATATATGGACCAGTTGCAAGATATTTTAGGTTTAGACACTGATGTGTACATGATCAGTCAATACAGTTAACTGATAAAATGTCACAGTCCACACCCTAACAATCTATGTAAATATTTAAAACAACTTTGTTTATACAATTATTACAGGAAACAGATAATTGTTCAGATGACTTATTAATATTTATGTATATTGAAATGCAGTAACAAGGTGTGAGTATTATATCAAAGCTTTGTTATGGGACTTAGGGCAAATACACATCCAACACTAAAATTGGAATGCATCTCAATGAACCAAATGGCTGGCTCTGTCGCCCCCTGATAGATGGCAAATTCTTGGCCCCATGAACCTTCACCAAAAACACTAATTCAGCAGGAAAGTTCCCATAATTCAGAATATCATAAGGAAGGAAAAAAATTCTGCCCCAAAATATATTTCTTTTTTTTTTTTTCTTTTTGAGACGGAGTCTTGCTCTGTCACCCAGGCTGGAGTGCAGTGGCACGATCTCGGCTTACTGCACCCTCTTCCTCCCAGGTTCAAGCAATTCTCCTGCCTCAGCCTCCTGAGTCGCTGGGACTACAGGCATGTGCCACCACGCTCAGCTAATTTTTTGCATTTTTAGTAGAGATGGGGTTTCACCGTGTTAGCCAGGATGGTCTCAATCTCCTGACCTCATGATTCGCCCGCCACGGCCTCCTAAAGTGCTGGGATTACAGGTGTGAGCCACTGTGCCCAGCCCTCAAAATATATTTCTTTGACATAATTGGAGATTATATAAAGACAGCCAGCAAGAAGAAGTAGCCCTGCGAAGCTGTCTTTTGTGGGTGAAACTTGCATGTGTAGAAAATTTGCGTGAACTCAGTCAAGCCTTCCCTTGTCTAGACCTAGGAGAGAGGAACTAAGATTCTGATACCTTAAAGATTGGAAAGCAACATTTACCATCTATTTACTCTGAGGGCTGCTACCTACCTGTGAGAGTTCTTCTACATAACAAGACCACCCTTGCTAGCCAGCCTCCTCTTCTCTTCCTCCCATAACCAGTCTTGCCACTATAACCTGTTTTACCACTATCGCCTGTTTGTGGCCATTCCCCAAGCCACCATTTTTGCTGTAATCTCAGGATGGTATATAAGCTTCCTCAGGTCACTGGGTGGTTGGGTCATCACTCTGTGATGCCCCTGTGTACACATCAGTAAAGTTTCTATGCCTTTGTTGCAATTAATCTGCCATTTGTGAGCTGATTTTTTAGCGAACTTTCCGAGGGCGAAGGGGACACTTTCCCTTGGTTCCTACAGTTTGACTCTGTGAGCAGGCTCTGCTCTCCTGACCCACAGCCAAGTGAATTCAGGTCCTGATGAGCCATCAAAAGGGTAAGGATTTCTTATAAGTCAGGCTCCAGGCCTCTGTCACTCTGTGGAATCTGGTCAAGTGGATGGCAGATATTGTTATTTGTTTCTTTTTCTTCTCCAAAATCTTGATTAATGGGAGGAAAGGATTTGTTTGACTCATCTTGTTCTCGTGACTCTGGTGTACTTTTGGTACTTTGTGGTTTGAATATTCATAGTGTTTGTTCCCTTTTCTACCAGAAATAGTCTTTTCCTTTGTCTTTGTCTTTGTGTGTCCTTCTGTCATGAAGAGGGGTATCATTTTAGGTTCTCCCTCATCTTGTTTGATGTCCTTGAAAGCTTGACTTGTGACCAAGTAGAAGGACTCTCTTGGTCTGTGCCATCCAGGCAGCATAATTTTCGAGTTCCATTGGGTGGCCAGTCTCAAAAAGGCTGCAAAACCAGGACATTTTGTTTTGAATATGTCACGTTCTCAGGAGAGTTTGCGTTAAGAAGTTCCATTCCTACATGACTTTTGTCATCCTAACCCTTGTTGCCTGGTTAGTGCTGGGAAAGTCCAATCCCAGGCAGGGCTATGCAGTGTCACAGATTAAAAGATCTGTGAGTGGCGCCCTCCCCTACAAATTTTGGTTTGCCAAAGGCAAACACCATCCTCAACAATCTGTGGTAACCAGAGTCCTTTGCTATCTCCTTGATCTCTTTGGTTATTAGGAACATACATGTGTACATATGAATATTATATGGTATGTCTACATATATGTATATGTTCACATATATATTTGCATATTATCTACACGTGGTACCACATTAACTCGAATGAGTACTCATAAAATTAAACCTATTCCTGGGAGAATTCTTGGGGGAGGGGGTCTTTGGGTTTGCTTCTCTCCAGGAAACATCTTTTTTTAAACCTGGAATATTACATTCTGGGCTTTCCATGAAGAAGCTATTGGATTGAGTCACTATTGGAATAAGTACAGCACTGGAAATTCAATGACCAGAAGGTGGATCTTTTAAATTAGATTCCTGAAATTTTTTTTTTTGACCCAGCAATCCCATTACTGGGTATATACCCAAAGGATTATAAATCATTCCACCTTAAAGATACATGCACACATATGTTTATTGCAGCAGTATTTACAATAGTAAAGGCTTGGAACCAACCCAAATGCCCATCAATGATAGACTGGATTAAGAAAATGTGGCATGTATATACCGTGGAATACTATGCAGCCATATAAAAGAATGAGTTCATGTCCTTTGCAGGGGCATGGGTGAAGCTGGAAACCATCATTCTCAGCAAACTAACACAAGAACAGAAAACCAAACACTGCATGTTCTCACTCATAAGTGGGAGTTGAACAATAAAAACACATGGACACAGGGAGGGAAACATCACACAGCAGGGCCTATCGGGGGTGGGGGGCAAGGGGAGGGATAGCATTAGGAGAAATACCTAATGAAGATGATGGGTTGACGGGTGCAGCAAACCACCATGGCACATGTATACCTATGTAACGAACCTGCACGTTCTGCACACGTATACCAGAACTTAAAAGTATAATAAATAAATAAATAAATAAATAAATAAATAAATAAAATAAAATAAAAAGATTTTTGAGATCTCTCATTCTAAACAATTGATGGGAAGATCAAATTCAAAGAAAGACATGCAACAGTGTCATAGCCAGCCCTAGAAATTATCTTGAAACAATTAAGAGCAAAAATCTAACCTAAACAAATTTAAAATCTCTGTAAGCTCAAACTGCCTGCTTTGGATTCCCTGCAGGATTAATAATAAACTCTGCTCAACCTTGTTGTACAGTAGTTCCAATTCCACACTTTCACAGCCTTCGCTTGGGTTTGATTCCTGCTCAGGAAACCAGTACCTATTCGTTTTATATTTGTGTGACTTTTAATTTTGCGGGTACCCTCTTACATGTTTGGAGATGCCTTGTGAATCCTTGGTTAAGTCACAGCCTTGGTTAAGGCTTATTGCTTTCACTTGGGACGGTATCTCTAGGAAAAAACAAACAAACAAACAAACAAAAAACAGAAACATCAGCTGTTTATCCCAGCTAAAATATTTTAACAAGAGATTTTAAAAGTTTTTTTTTAAGAGCTCTATAGTCAAAATCTGACTTAATTAAAACGGATATTTAGGCTATGTATGTATACATATATATATATATTGTTTAAGGCTTCTATTTCTCTGTAAAAACTTCTCAGTCAACTGAATACCTGTCTTCTTAAACCTCTGCTAATCATATTTGCTCCCTCTGTCTGCTTCTCCATCTATTCTGTGTGTCCCTCCTTCCCCTTGCCACTTTCAGTGCCACAGGAGGGGACCTAAAAACAATTCTAATTGCCTGGGATCCCTTAAGGGAAACAGAAAAGGCAACACGAGTTTCTCTTTTGGGGAGGAAACTTTGATTTTCCTCATGGAATCCCAAGAGTTGTAAGTGAACAGATTCAAGTCTGAAGCTCTACTGCTCTCTTTTGCACTAAACTCCTTGATCTCTTTGGCTATTAGGTACATACATGTGTACATGTGAATGTTATGTGTTGTGTCTACATATATGTATATGGTCATACATATATTTGCATATTATTTACACATGGTACCACATTAATTTGAATGAGTACTCATAAATTAAATAAATCAGACCAAATAATTTTTCAAGTTTATGTGACTTGAATAAATCTTTTGGAAACAAATGGAAGAACATACCATACTCATGGATAGGAAGAATCAATATCGTGAAAATGGCCATACTGCCCAAGGTAATTTATAGATTCAATGCCATTCCCATCAAGCTACCAATGAGCTTCTTCACAGAATTGGAAAAAACTGCTTTAAAGTTCATATGGAACCAAAAAAGAGCCCGCATCTCCAAGACAATCCTAAGTCAAAAGAACAAAGCTGGAGGCATCACGCTACCTGACTTCAAACTATACTACAAGGCTACAGTAACCAAAACAGCATGGTACTGGTACCAAAACAGAGATATAGACCAATGGAACAGAACAGAGTCCTCAGAAATAATACCACACATCTACAGCCATCTGATCTTTGACAAACCTGAGAGAAACAAGAAATGGGGAAAGGATTCCCTATTTAATAAATGGTGCTGGGAAAATTGGCTAGCCATAAGTAGAAAGCTGAAACTGGATCCTTTCCTTACTCCTTATACGAAAATTAATTCAAGATGGATTAGAGACTTAAATGTTAGACCTAATACCATAAAAATCCTAGAGGAAAACCTAGGTAGTACCATTCAGGACATAGGCATGGGCAAAGACTTCATGTCTAAAACACCAAAAGCAACGGCAGCAAAAGCCAAAATTGACAAATGGGATCTCATTAAACTAAAGAGCTTCTGCACAGCAAAAGAAACTACCATCAGAGTGAACAGGCAACCTACAGAATGGGAGAAAATTTTTGCAATCTACTCATCTGACAAAGGGCTAATATCCAGAACCTACAAAGAACTCAAACAAATTTATAAGAAAAAAACAAACAACCCCATCAAAAAGTGGGCAAAGGATATGAACAGACATTTCTCAAAAGAAGACATTCATACAGCCAACAGACACATGAAAAAATGCTCATCATCACTGGCCATCAGAGAAATGCAAATCAAAACCACAATGAGATACCATCTCACACCAGTGAGAATGGCGATCATTAAAAAGTCAGAAAACAACAGGTGCTGGAGAGGATGTGGAGAAATAGGAACACTTTTACACTGTTGGTGGGAGTGTAAACTAGTTCAACCATTATGGAAAACAGTATGGCGATTCCTCAAGGACCTAGAACTAGATGTACCATATGACCCAGCCATCCCATTACTGGGTATATACCCAAAGGATTATAAATCATGCTGCTATAAAGACACATGCACACGTATGTTTATCACAGCACTATTCACAATAGCAAAGACTTGGAATCAACCCAAATGTCCATCAGTGACAGATTGGATTAAGAAAATGTGGCACATATACACCATGGAATACTATGCAGCCATAAAAAGGGATGAGTTTGTGTCCTTTGTAGGGACATGGATGCAGCTGGAAACCATCATTCTTAGCAAACTATCACAAGAACAGAAAACCAAACACCGCATGTTCTCACTCATAGGTGGGAACTGAACAATGAGATCACTTGGACTCGGGAAGGGGAACATCACACACCGGGGCCTATCATGGGGAGGGGGAAGGGGGAGGGATTGCATTGGGAGTTATACCTGATGTAAATGACGAGTTGATGGGTGCAGCACACCAACATGGCACAAGTATACATATGTAACAAACCTGCACGTTATGCACATGTACCCTACAACTTAAAGTATAATAATAATAAATAAATTAAAAAAAAATAAATAAATCTTTTGGTAAATAAAACTAGATTGTTATTGTTGGTTTAATAAAAATAACTATGTCTTCTGAGCTAACAACAAAATATACATGTACTTACCTGTAAGGTTCTTGCTTTCATGATACTTGACTAATGTACAGTAATACAAAAAACAGTTAATAAAAAATCTAACCTGTGATGATGACTAGGTTTGTCTAATGTCTCCTAAAATTGCCTAAACATAATTGTTAAAATTAAATGAATAAAATAGATGTAAATGAGATAAAAGTTTATAAATGCACATTCCACAAGAATGTTTTATGATATGTTTACTTAGGTTTCTCAATGCTTTTTGGTAACCACACCCTTAGAGTTTTGCTAAACTAAATTAAATGATGGGTTAGGGTTCAGATGTGCCGTGGAGACTGTGGAACAAACTGTCCCACCTTCATCGGAGACTAGTCCAGCAAGAAAGTTCCCATAGTTCATAATATCATATTGAAGGAAATAAAAATGTTTCACCACAAACATTGGCCAGATCTAGGCAAGATCAACTGAGAGTCTGACTCTTCCCTTCAGCCCTGATTAACTGAGAGTCTGACTCTTCCCTTCACCCCTCCAATATCAGGCCAGATATTTTCTTGTCTCATCTGAGAAAACCTGCTCCAAAGTAGCATTGTTAAAACGGCTGTTCCTCAGGTAGGAGTGGAACTACAGAAAACAAGAATATCGGTACAACATGAAACTTTGTGAATATTATAAAAGATAAAATATGGAAGACTTGGTAAATAAAACTTTATGTATTAAATATGCTAATTAATATCCAAATATATGTAAATGTTAATTGAAATGGTGGCCACACTTTGGAACTTGAAATCAAGAGGGCCTAATAATATCCTATGAAAATGATGAGAACTGATATGGTTTAGCTATTTGTCTCCTCCAAATTTCATGTTGAAACGTGATCCCCAATGTTGGAAGTGGCCCCTGGCAGGAGGGGTTTGGGTCGTGGGGGCGGATCCCTCCTGAATGGCTTGGTGCCCTCTGCATGGTAATGAGTTCACAAGAGATCTAGTTGTTAAAAAGAGTCTGAGATCTTACCGCACTCTCTTGCTGTCTTTCTCCTCTTGTGACACACTGGCTCCCCTTGCCTTCCATGATGAGTAAAAGCTTCCGTAGGCCTCACCAGACAGCGATGCTGACACCATGCTTTTTGTGTAATCTGCAAAACCATGAGCTAAATGAACTTTTTTCCTTGATAAATTACCCAGGCCCAGGTGTTCTTTTACAGCAACACAAAATGGACAAATGCAAAAACTCAGCAATATTTTAGTTTGGATCCCAGCTAACCCCTGCTGTCACCCTATGATCTTGGGTCACAGACTCGGGTCATGGTCTCTCTTAGCATTATATTCTTTGTCTTTAACACCAGCATAGAAGAAAACTTTCCCAGGTTGTCCAGGATTCAGTGAGATAAATTATGCAAACCTGTCAGTTATAAGGGCATACACTCCAAAGAACTAAAAGCAGGGATGGATATATATGCGTATAGACTCAAAAGAACTAAAAGCACCCATATGCACAGCAGCGGTATTCACAATAGCCAAAAATTGGAGGCAACACAAGTGTCCACCAATGGATGAAGAGATAAACAAAATGTGGTATATAATATTATTCTGCCTTAAAAAGAAAAGGAATTCTGACACATACTGCAATATGGATGAAACGTGAGTCATTATGCAAAGAGAAATAACCTAGGCACAGAAGGACGAATGCTGTACTCTTCCACTTATCTGAGCTACCTAGAGTAATCAATTCACTGGGACATCAAGTAGAGAGGTAGTTTCCAGGGACTGGAGGAGAGAGAAATAGGAAGTAGTGTTTAGTGAATACAGAGTTCCTGTTGGGGATGATGAAAAAAGGTCTGGACAAGGATGGTGGTGATGGTTACACAACCACTGTAAATGTGGTTAATGCCATAGAACTATATAATTAAGGTGGTTTAAATGGTAAATGTTAAGTGTATTCAATCAGAAAGAACACAGGAATGAAGTACGGATGTATGTTATAACATGCATGAACCTTGGAAACATCTTAAGTAAAAGAAACAAGACACAAAAGGCACATATTGTATGACCCCATTTATATGGAATGCCCAGAAGGGCAAATCGATAGAGTTCAGGAAGTAGATTAGTAGCTTCCAGGGACTGAAGGAGGGGGAAATGAGAACGGACATCATAATGGTTACTGAGTTCCCTTTGGAGGTGATAAAAAAGCTCTGGAACTAGATAGGTGGCTGTACAACACTGTCAAGGTGTTAAATTTCACCAAGTTGTGTACTTAAAAATAGCAGCTATCATTCTCAGCAAACTAACACAGGAACAGAAAATCAAACAGTGCATGTTTTCACTCATAAGTGGGAGTTGAACAATGAGAACACATGGACACAGGGAGGGAAACAATACACACCGGAGTCTGCCAGGGGTGGGGGGCAAAGGGAGGGAGAGCATTAGGACAAATACCTAATGCATGTGGGGCTTAAAACCTAGATGATGGGTTGATAGGTGCAGCAAACCACCATGGCACATGTGTACCTATGTAGCAAACCCGCACATTCTGCACATATATCCCAGAACTTAAAGTAGAAGAAAAATGGTTACAGTG